GACGCGAGTCAAGCGCGTGCAGGCTATGCGACGGTCCGGTGTGCGACTGACAGCTGCGTCCTTCTTCCAATCAGCGAAGATGCCCCGGCCACTAAACCTCGCGTGTAAATGCGTTTCCGGGCCCTGCACCATCACCAACCCTGTGGGTAATTCCTTCACTTCCCAACTAGGCATGACCGGCGCGAAAATCCAGGTCCCTAGGAACGGTCTGGGGTCGGCGAGAGCATGGTTCCTCTCCGCAATCGCACAATGTTCAATTCTTCCTGGGGGTGCTTAGCGATTCTTCCGGGCCAAGCTCAGCATCAACCTTTCTGCGACCTGGACGGCCAATGAGCACATGCGCAACTGCTTGACACCTTCATAGCTCATCTCCATGGGGTTTGTGGCGTTTTCTCCACATACTCCGCAAAACAGCACGTTGCCGGGTTCCTCTCGGTCGGGATATATAGGTGTAGGCCGATCTTCGTCCATTGAAGTACTCCTCATCTCGCTCAAGCTACGCCTACCTGTCTGGCTAGCAACCTCCATCGGTGCCATCTGAGTCCATCACTTTGGATTTCCCAAGGCACATCGGATCACTACACCAACATGGGTCTCCTTACCATCGTCGAAGATCGACCAACACCAAAGGCGGTTTACAACTGGAGAGTCTACACAGCAGCATGCATTGCATCATGGGCAGCATGCATGATCGGCTACGACAGTGCCTTCATTGGCACGACTTTGGCCCTGCCATCTTTCGTTGAGGAATTCCGTTTCGCGGAGATGGACCCCGCCGAGTTGAATCTGACGAAGGCCAACATCGTCTCGGTGTACCAAGCTGGTGCATTCTTCGGAGCTTTTGGAGCGTACGCGTCCAGTCACTACATTGGCAGGAGGAAGTCGCTCATTCTCTGGGTACTCATTGTGAGTCACCGAGTACTTTACAGATATACTGGGGCAGATGCTGACATACACAGTTCATTTTGGGTGCTGGCATGATGCTGGGTGCCAATGGCGACCGAGGTCTCGGTTTGATCATTGGTGGTCGTGTACTAGCAGGTCTCGGTGTTGGTGGATGCAGCAACATGGTTCCTATCTACATCTCCGAATTATCACCACCAGCTGTGCGCGGACGACTGGTCGGTATCTACGAGCTTGGCTGGCAAATGGGAGGTCTCGTTGGATTGTAAGTCATGCAACCTGGATTCCGTTCGAGAGTAACACGTACTAACACACCCATAGCTGGATCAACTACGGCCTTCAGGAGACGATGGAACCTTCCCACAAGCAATGGATCATTCCGTTCGCTGTGCAACTCATTCCCGCCGGCTGCCTCTTGCTTGGCGCCTTCTGGATGCCGGAATCACCTCGATGGTGCCTGACCAAGGGAAAGCGCGAACAAGCACTGAAGGATCTATGCTGGATCCGTAACCTTCCCCAAGACCACACATATATCATGGAGGAGCTCGATGCCATAGATGCTCAGGTCGAACATGATAGGATCACCGTCGGACCTGGATTCTGGAAGCCGTTCCTTGCGCTTAAACAACGCAAGGTGCAATACCGCATCTTCCTCGGTGGCATGCTGTTCCTTTGGCAGAACGGATCCGGTATCAACGCAATCAACTACTACTCTCCGACTGTCTTCAAGAGTCTCGGCGTCACGGAAGGCTTCCTTACCACTGGTATCTTCGGTGTCGTCAAGTGCGTTCTGACCTTTGTCTGGCTTATCTGGCTCATCGACCGCCTCGGTCGCACTAAGCTCCTCATGTTCGGCGCTCTTGGTAAGTTTTCAATCCATCAACAGGATACGAAACATACACTAACTACTCAACCAGGTGGATCTTTGTGCATGTGGTACATTGCTGCCTACATCAAGATCGCCGATCCAACGAACAACAAGAATGCTTCGGGCGAACTCTCCTCCGGCGGTATCAGCGCCGTCTTCTTCTTCTACCTCTGGACCGCCTTCTACACCCCTTCATGGAACGGTACCCCATGGGTCATCAACTCCGAGATGTACAGCCAGCAGACGCGCTCCCTGGGTCAGGCATTCGCCGCGGCAAACAACTGGTTCTGGAACTTCATCATCTCTCGTTTCACACCCCAGATGTTTGCCTCCATGGGCTACGGAGTATACATGTTCTTCGCATGCCTCATGCTGCTCTCTATACCCTTTGTTTTCTTCCTGATACCCGAGACAAAGGGAGTCCCGCTTGAGCGCATGGACGAGCTTTTCACCATCAAGCCCGCTTTTAAGGCACATGGTATCCTTGTAGACAGGATGAAGGAGAATGAGGAAGTAAACTTGACGATCAGGGATGAGAAGGCAAGGGCAGATGAGCATACTGAGATGGCTTGAGTGTTATGTAGTAACACGCACTCGCAGTCGTGTGCAAATGAACGTATCATGATCAATGAGCATCGCATGAGAATTCTTCGAATCTCCGCCTTTATGACTAGATTCTTCGTGATGTGCACTGTTCAGGGCATTCCAGGAACAGAAGACGGTTACAATAGCGATTCCTGGTTGCCTGCATGGGCACTCGAGTTGCAGCACTGGATTAGGGGCCAGTCTGTTGGCAAGTCTCCAGTGCAGCCGAGGTAGACTTATCACTAAGGTCATTGGAGTATTTTTTGAGATAGCCAAAGACAATGTGAACGCGAACCGCGAGTCCAACCAGCGACCCCAATGACGTCATAGCCCCTACAGCATAGAGGGCGGTTTGCTTCACACGTGTCGGCTATGTCGGCTCGAAACCGCTAATCATTACCGGCGGGAAGAAGGCTTTCTCCACGTGCCTTCGACCCCGAGCACGCGGTCGCGCAGAAGAGTGAGCGCCTCTAGCTTAGCTGTCAGATCGGTGCTGACTCTGCTTTCGCGCTGGCCGTTGATGATGCATTACTGCAGGTGCTTAAATTACACAGCCGGACAGTTTCGCACGCCCGGGTCACTAGAAGTGTCGGATCTTTCTTATTGACAGAGTGGTCGTACAGACGTCAACCAACCGATGATATCCATGGATACTTGCGAAAAACCACCGGCGTCCAAAACTGCCCGCTGCGCTTCTACGGCCTTATGCAGCAATAACGTCTAGCTGCTGGTACGAGACTGTGGATTATCACAGCGTGTGGCTCACTAGAACGTTTAGAAAGCTGTCATAGAATACCTCTCATGTGTTTTCCCATAGCGCGCCTTGGCTTGGAGATGCAAGAGTGATACGGCCCATTTTTCGATCGGGAACCGATGACCGAAGTGGCGCGGTGCACCTGGCCACGGGTGTGAGCTCTTTTCCGCCCGGCTAGCGCCGAACCCCCATCCGCACCACCAAGATGTCACCAGGCTGGGCTTGCCTACTGCTTGCCACGGCACATCGCGGTTGCGTAAGGAGTGTGTTTCATTTTCCAACATTACTCCGGGATGGCGAGCGACAAGCGCTCGTCGAGCGTGATTGGACAAGGAAGGTTCAATGCGTATGTGCATGGTAGGAAACGGTCGTGCAGGATGCGTTGATCAGGATATCGGTGGGTTATGAATGGCCTTGAATGTACGCCAGCTGCTTATAGATGTCTTATCAGCTTCACAAGTATGACTGCTAGCCTCTCAGTATTCATACTGTAGTTTTACCTTCACAATACCATACTGCATATTACATACGCCTCCATTTCTATCCTCCATCCTCCATCTTCTATCTTGTATCTTCTATCAGCATCATGCCGTGCCGCCCAGGTATCTCCTCCATGTCGCTAGGCCGATGCTACGCTGGCCACAGCCTCGAACACAAACTCTCCATGGCGGCGAAACACGGACTAGAGGGCATCGAGCTCTTCTACGAGGACCTAGTCGATCACGCCGGGTCCGACAAGCCATCCGACCTGCTTGCAGGCGCTGCCTCAGTCTACGATCTTTGCTCTTCCCTTGGCCTGGAGGTCATATGTTTGCAGCCTTTCATGCACTACGAGGGTCTTTTGGACAGGAAGCGACACGCTGAGCGAATCGAAGAGATGAAGCTTTGGATGCAACTAGCGCATGTCCTCCGAACAGACATAGTCCAAGTCCCTTCGTCGTTTCTACCACCCAACCAGACATCCTCCGATACAGACCTCATCGTCAGCGACCTTCAAGAGATCGCGGACCTTGGGCTGCAACAGACACCAATCATCCGATTCGCATACGAGAGCCTGAGCTGGGGAACACACGTTGACAAATGGGAAGTATGCTGGGATATCGTGCAACGGGTCGATCGAACAAACTTTGGCATCTGCCTGGACAGCTTCAACATCCTGGGCAGAATATATGCGGACCCTACTGCTGAATCTGGAAAGGTCGTAGGAGCTGATCAGGCAGTTCGCGACTCGATACAACGACTGATTGCCCAGATCAAACCTCACAAAGAGAAAATATTCTTCATCCAGATCGTCGATGCCGAGCGTCTCGCACGACCGTTGCTTCCCGGTCATCCCTTCTACAACGCCGAACAGCCAGCTCGCATGTCTTGGAGCAGAAACTGCAGGCTGTTCTATGGCGAGACTAGTCGTGGGGCGTACTTGCCCGTGAAAGATGTCACACGTGCCATCATCAAGGACATTGGATTCGAGGGCTGGGTCAGCATGGAGTTGTTCAATCGAGTCATGAACAGAGAGGATAAGGGGGTCGTTGAAGAACTGGCACAGCGCGCTGCGACCGCGTGGCATGCAATGTGCCATGATTTGCAGCTTGGCACGGGTGCAGTGTATGATACATTGGTGTCTATGGAAAGACCTCGAAACGAAGTAAGCAATGTGGGACAAGCCGAGTATGCGCGGCTATGAGGTGGAAGCTCATGTGGTTTTCTTGTTCAATTTCCTGTGCTTCTTATCGTTTGACAGTCTATATGTAGAAGATACCCAACAATCGAGCATCGTTCCTGAATGCGACGCCCAGAACGATGGAAGCATACGTGTTGACTCTGCTGTTCTGAACTTCTCCAATAGCTGGGTATTGCCTATTCTCTGAAGTGAAGAGCCTGCAGTCGGGCTCACCCAGCATCGTAGAAAGTGTTGAGCGGGAATTGAGGAGATTCCTCGCTGTTATCTACGCCTAGGTTCGACGCAGTAGGCATGAAACGGCCAGTATCAGCCGCCAATAGATCGGCCATGCTTACTTCCGATGAAAATCCGAGGTTCTCCATAAACTGCGGTTGGTTTTGTAATTTCTTGGCACCATGCTTTGAAGCGAAGTCGTCGAGGAAACTTCCCAAATCACCCGAGACTAAAGCATTATAAGGATCATGGGGGTCGAAGATCGGGCCGGCCATTCCAAAATCGAATAGGTTGGGTTCAAATGGTTGCAGACTGTGACCTGCATGACTAACGTTCATATCTGGATGGACCATAGTAGACTGGTTGGGCGGTTGCTGGTACCGATCGGTGAACGGACCGCTATGTTGTGAGACGAGAGACTGCGGAGAGGTCTGAACGGTTCCAGAATCCTCCGAAGACGCGTCTCTTAAAGTGACCGATATCGATCGCAAACCCGATGATGCCCTGTCCGAAGTCTCTTGTGATGAATGGCCAAGAGCAGCAAATAACTCGTGAATTCGACTATGTGTCGGTTGATCCAGAGCCAGACTATTAGTGCTTCTCTTGATACTTTGTAATAAGCAGGTGATGACAGCTGGCATTCTTGTGACCCCAAGCTGCTGTTGTAGAATGTTTAACATGTCCAAGATCTGCTGAAGCCATGCCTGAGATGGAACGAGAGTAAAAGCAGTGACGAGATAAGTGAATCGGAGCAGCAATGCAGGTGGGGTCGGTGGTGTAGAAGGTGGATCTTTCCGAATATAATCGAGTTTTGGTGGTAACGCAGACTTCCACATCTCAAGTCGGCCAATCATTTCATGTAGAAAGTTTGGCGCTGTCCGCTCCATGGACGTACATCGGAGAATGTCAACCAGTTCCATAAGAGCGTTGAAAGTGCTCAAAGCGAGTGTCGGAGAGTTTGACAGACGTGATGGACCAAGATTGAGATGCCCACTCCATGGCTGCCATTCTTCCATGCCATCTTCCTCTATCTTGCCCATCCACGAAAGATCGGCCCTGTCGAGGTACGGGCGCCGTTTGAGATGTAAGGCCAAGAGACTGTCAAGCACAAAACAACTCGAGATAACATGCTTGAGCCGAAGTGTAATAGCATCTGGCGATTCTGCAAGCATGAGGGCTAGTCGTAAAGCACCGCCGACAAGATGCCAGGCAGCATCGAATAGTTTCCCGTGAATGTTGAATAATGCTAGGTTGAGAAGGGCCTTGACGTGACCAAGTTCGAATTTGCCTAGCTCATTGGGGATAAGTTGCCTCGCGATGTCGTAAAGTCTTCCGGACGGCCATGGATGATAGCTATCTCCTGCGAGACTCGCGTCATCATGCGTAGAGCCGACTGCAAATACACTCCACATTTCTGCATAACTTCCCGAGTTGGGCATATCGCTTGACAGAGCCAAACCTTGTTCCGCATAGGAATACGATAGCTTGAGGATCTCAAGCTTGTCCGCAATGGGCAGCCAGCATTGTGTATACGTGCAGTATATCTCGATCAACCTCCAGCAGTCTGTCGGCAGGGGGGTAAGGGAAGAAGATCCTGTGGATTGTTGCAGACGCGGAGAATGAAGGTCCGGTAATGGAGGTGGGCGCATAGCCTGCGGCATGTAGTTCGTGTCACTTTGCCATGATATCTGCATAAGTCAGCACTCATCAAGATAGTCACGTAGGGCTAGTACCGAATGCTGAGACTGAGCTTTTGGTGTCATCTGGAGAAGCGTGGCATCTTCAGTGTCCACCTCACTGTCTTCGTCTGAACTTGGCGGCCTGTCCTCGCTTGCTCCTATCTGCTCTCCAGACAATGCTTTGGTAACATCTCGACAGAATCTGCTCTTGGTCCAGCTCTTGTGTAAACGATTCGAGTCCTTAGTACCCCTCGCTAGCAAGACCGTGTTTTCCTGGGCCAGTTGATCGTGTACTGAAGTCTCAATCTCAGTGTGCTGTTGGAAAATGAAGGCCAGTGTCATTTCAAGACTGCGTATGTAGCCGGGCTGGAGCCCTCGCTTCTTCGGGTTTGACGTGTATGTACACGTGCGCTTGGCATCCAGACAGGGAGAGCAGCTGGGCTGGTTCGCGTCACATTTCTCGCGGGCATTGCGACACTGATCGCAAGCTCTTGATACCCGAAACCGTTTTACCGGTATGTCTTGTGTGGCCTGGCGGCGTTTCTCCTGGGTATGCAAAGACATGGGTTCGGCAGCGATCGTTCGCCGTCGCACAAAGAACACGAAAGCGCCTCATAGAGCCTTGCCGAAAGAGCAGATTGGTGATTACCCAGATATGGGGTGGTCGAGCATCTTGCTAAAGAAGCCATCGAGCTTACCTAGTGAGGCACTGGAGAAAGCCGGGGAAGCGTCTGCGCACCAGGATAAAGTTTTATCCCCATGGAAAAGCGGGGCTCGCCGCTATCACGTGTTTCGCTAAGGCACTCGTCGTTGCCAACTGCAGCACCATGTTCTGCTCCATGCTGTTGACACTTTGGACTACCTTTTCTAAATTCCAAGTCCCGTAAACAATGGCGTCCATGACGGTTGGTGCGAAGCGTTCATTTGCGGCAATGAACAAGGAAACCGGAGCGATGGACGGGCGAGCTTCGCTGCCAACACCATCTCCGCCGGCGTCCAAACAGCGAAGTCTACCGAATTCGGCAAGGTCAACACCAGCACCCACACAGTACGAATGCCGAAGAATGTTTGACTCCCGGGCGTCTATCGTGCTCATTGGCATGCATGGCACAGGCAAAGCAACATTGGCAATGATGGCTTCAGTAGCCTGCCAGCGAAGGGTCATCGACATGGAGAGTGTCTTCCACACTGCAACAGGCTTCTCGACCGCTGCATATCGCAAACAGTTTGGATCTTCGAACCGTAGCCTCCGGCAGGAGGAGATTCTACGCGACACATTACAAAACCACAGCAGAGGCGCCATTATCGTCTGCAACGGAGGATTTCCGCTGGATAGCAGTAGCCAAGCTCTACTGCATGAATTTTCGGCATCGCACCCAGTGATACACATTACACGAGACGTGCGCAGTGTACGCGAATACTTAGACACGGACGAATCCAAAGTTCGAGAGTTGCTTGCTCTCAGTACTCCGGTTTTCCGGCGATGCTCCAACTACGAGTTCTACAACATATCCGAAACGAACGCAGCTCACCTCTCGGTTGCACCTGCACACCAGCCGTCCGTGCCAGCATTCCTGACGCTAAAACGAGCGGAAAGAACTTTCTTCAAGTTTTTGGCACTTATCCTATCTCCCACGAATACCCGCAGAAAGATCAAGAGTGACGCGCCCACGCTCGACCCTGGTCACTTCCCATTATCGTATGTCGATTTGGAGCTTAGGAATTACACATGCGCCGTTCAGGTTGAACTATCAGATCTTACGCCTGAAGAAGTCGACATTGAAGAGCTGGAATTTGGCTGTGACGCATTCGAGATAGTCGTTGAACCCGCACAGCTTACAGCGGATCACGCGGAGAACATAAGCAAGAGTATATTCAGAGTGCGAAGGAGTACCGTGACCCCGATAATGTTTCACACGATGCCTCTTTCAGCACATTCAGGCCGTTCCACAACGTCCTACCTGGCAAATTTGTGGTACGGTCTGCGAATGGCACCTGAGTTCGCCACTGTGGATCTTACCATGGACGAGGAGCTGATCCGCGCAATCGTTGCGTCGAGGGGCTCGACCAAGATAATCGGCCACCTTCACGCAGCCATGGACTGGTACGATGTATTCTGGCTCGAGAAATACGATACAGCAATGCGATTGGGCTGCAGCCTGGTACGCTTTACCCGGCCAGCGAACTTCATGGACGATAACGCCGCCATTCAATCATTCCGCAACACTATATACGCCAAGTCACCGAGAATACCCATAATATGTTATAACACCGGACGCGCTGGCCGGCGTTCTGCTTGCTTCAACCAGGTTCTGACCCCTGTGATACCAGAAAAGCTACGAAAGAGCGCAGATTTTGAGACCAGAGCACAAAGAAACCCAGAAACGTCATGGCTTACTGTGACAGAAGCTACGCATATTCTATATGCTTCGTTTACATATGACCCTATGGAGTTTTACATCATCGGTGCCGCCGCGGGATACAGTCTTAGCCCTGCTATGCACAATGCGGCATATCGAGCGTGTGGTATGCCTCACCACTTTGACCGCCTCCAAACTGCGACACTGGACGAAAACATACGGGAGTTGATACGACGGCCAAACTTTGGCGGCACTGCAGTCAGCCAGCCATTTAAAGTGGATGCGGTTGCTCTCTCTCACGCGCTAAGTCGCCACGCGCGAGCGATTGGAGCAGTCAACACGCTTCTGCCAATTCGCCATCTCAACGAGGACGGCAGCATTCCCGATGCGGACGGGGTTGAGCTTTACCAGGAACGCAACCAGTCCGGGCCTGTCAAAGCACTCTTTGGCGACAATACAGATTGGATAGGCATTCGATCTTGTATACGACGAGGTCTGTCTCCTGCCAACGCTGTTCGGCCAACGACCACCTCTAGCCTGGTCATCGGGTCAGGAGGTATGGCTAGGGCGGCGATCTATGCCATGCTACAGCTTGGCATCAAGAACATCGTAATCTTCAACCGAACAATCAAGAACGCACAGAAGCTAGTCAGCTACTTCTCTGCACTAGCTGCAAGCCCATCCGCAGCCAAGCTCTTCCCATCGTTCGTCCAGGGTTCTCAACCCACTTTTCGCATACTCGAGTCGAGGGACGACCCCTGGCCAAAAGATCTCCGCGCACCGACAGTCATTGTATCATGTATACCTACGCATCCTGTAGGGGATGAACCATCGCCTGACTTTACGCTGCCCACTCAATGGATGCAGTCTCCTTCTGGAGGTGTAGTGATAGAACTAGCTTACCGAACGCTCAATACGCCACTGACAAGACAAGTTCGCGAAGAAGCGTCAGCATCATGGATCTGCTTGGATGGCCTTGATCTGTTGCCTGAACAAGGTTTCGCTCAATTCGAACTTTTCACGGGCAAGAGAGCTCCGCGCAGGATTATGCGCGAAGAAGTGTTGAAATGCTGGACCGACGAACAAGGACACTCGAATCCTAACATGGTCCGCACGCGGCTTGAAGCAATGGATGAGCAAGAGCCTTGAAGGCAGTCTAGTATGGTAGACGATTCGCGTTCGCTCTACTACGTCAAGCGCACACTTCACGATTAGGGTAACATCTCGTTAAGAGTTTGGTCTTCAGCACATCATAGCTTTATTGGTCAAGCTACCCAGACTGGCTTTTTCTCGGTACATACATAAGAGTCGCATGTTGAATGCAGCGATCAAGGAAACGACAGCACAAAGCCAGACCTCACATCCACCTCAAGTCCCACTCGAGATCCCCAGGATCCAGCCTCAACAACCCACCTAGAGCTATCCCCAATCAACCACAGAAAACCTTGATAGTATTGAAGCTCTCGATATCCACACAGATCTCTCCAGAACCGACCTGCCGTTCGCGACCATCGCAGTTCTCGGATTCGTAAATGAAGACTGCATTGAGCAGGACAAGTCAGCTCTCATGCCTTCGCATTCAAACCATTGAGAGACGATGATACATACCACGGCAACCACCAGCTATACCATTGACATCCATGGATTGCCCGGGCAAATGGTAACAGCCGGCATCGGGGTTCGTGTATCGGGTTCCGCTCTGGTTGGACAGGCACTGGGAGCGGCTGGGGAACGAGGTGAAGGTGACGGCTGCGTCTACAAGGGCTGCTTCGGTAGCCGCTACGACTGCGGATGATACGTCTTTCTTGACGAGTGCGGCGGCAGTGGTAACGTAGGGGAAGAGCAGGGGAATGGCGAGAAGGAGGGTGGAGAGCATGGATGAGGTGGTGGCAGGCATGTTTGCTTGAGAGGGATTTAGATGAAGTTCTAAACAAAGCGATGGATGTTTGTCTTGGAAGATCTGGTCGTTCAAGATGCTGTCTGCTTTGCTTCTAGAGATGGGTGGAAGGCGGTGATATTTATACATCCTCATTAACAGATTTGCTCTTCCCCTGCTTGCCTCGATGTCATACCACATCAACACACATCCACGAAGCAGCACCGATTGTACCAAAGACGGTGCATTCTGTGTAC